AACATTTGCAAATTCAATACGAAGTGGTAGATTGATTGCAAGGTCAACTGAAGGTATCAACCGAGCAGCGAAACTCTATTTCTGCTTTCCAAACACGACATTTTTCTCGCGAACATCGAACTCGTTAAAGGATTTATCGATGAATCTCTGATTCGAATGTTTCATCGAGTCTTACTTAACGCGTCGAATGCCGAACATCGACTACGAAAATTCCCGTAATATCAAGGTCATTAAATTAACGCTATATCCACTGGCAGTATTCTAATATTCATTTGAATATCGAAGATCATCGGTTGAATATTTCTTTCAAAGATTGTTCAAAAGAGATAATAATTTCATTCGTAATCCAACAAATTATTTGAATTAATATAATGTATTAATATATATATATATATATTAATACATATTATATATTATATATTATATATTATATATTATATATTATATATTATATATTATAATATACACAGTAATTATACACAGTATAATATACATGTATATATAATAATATACATTAATATAATAAATTAGTATAACGTTCTTTTAAAGTAATTTATTTAAACAAAAAAATTTTAAGCTTCGTTTAAACAAGCTCACAGTTGTCAAAAATCTTATTAATAGGACTATTGGAAATATTAATTTTTAATCCTTCTGTATTAAAAAAAATCCCAATAGCATTCAGTTTAGTCAATATACATGCATCTATCAAAGAAATTATAGCATAGAAAATATTTGGACAAAAATTGGCCAACTTTGACCGACGATAACTCCGCGAAGGGTCATCGTAGGATGATGACACTTTTTTTTTTAAATCAAAGCTCGAAACCTCTGCTTCACGACAATCACTTCGGATTTTAAGTTCGATGCACTCTCGCCATTGTAATCCTTCAAATGTGAGGCCATGTTTGTCATCCTGAAAATTGGCAAGTTCCACGAAATGCACAGACTTTACGAAATATTTTTCGGAGATGCCGTTTGCGGTCGAATGAGAGAAGTTCGATCCTTCCCCTTTAAGTTAAAAAGAAAAGAAACGCGGTTGCGATTTTTTTTCTCGCAAAGTTACAGCACTTCGAAGCGCACCGGTAAAGTGAACCGTTCAGTGAAAGTTGGCAAATTTGTATCCGAAATTTTTCTATGCCATAATTTTGATGGGCAGCGTATCACGGTGAAGGTGAATGTGAAAACTTAGTTAAAAAGTAGTGGTACAAACCGATACAACAAAAATAACGTGAATTGGTGCGAACGCTATCTAAATTTCCGCCGTGCCAATGATTTCGGCACGGCGGCGGCGCCGTCGCGGCACAAAAATTACATAACTACGCCCGTTATCACCTCTTGTTTACATTCCTCTTCCGATCCGGAGAATTCGCGCAAAAGAGTCCGCGCGGCTTACGTAAAACCGCTCTCCGAGTTTCGTTTACATTTTCGGCGATTATCAGCAATTACCGGCATTATCGTCTCGATATCCGGAACGATACCATACCGGACACCGCCATACCATGCCGGTCTTATCGTTTGTCTTCGTTCCGCACGAAACCAGCTGATCTGTCTCCAAGGTTCACGGAAAGGACCCGTCCCAACGTCGTCGTTCCGTCGACTCGACCGTAACAGGGTTAAAACGGAGCGGATCGAAACGAGGATGGACAAACAGTCCCGGCGAATCGCGTCGCGTCGAGCATTTGTGCGCTCGTTAATTACGATATACCTTCATTAAGAACGACGGGTAACGGTGTATCGATTTCCGGCCCGCCGACAACGCGTGTGCGCGCGTCCGCGTTCGTGTCTTCGTGTGCGGGCGCTTCGAAAAACGACAGATAGAGAAAGAAAGAACGGGAGC